GGGGGGGGGGCGAGAGGAAAGCAGTCGGTGCACTTGCGCCTCGAGCAGCTTGCTGACTCGATGCCCTCATTCGGCTCTGCAGATGTGCAAAACAATAGCAGGTCAAGCTCGGTCGGTCGGCTTGCGCATCGTATCATAACGCAACCGGCATCTCAATGCATGCACATGAAGTTCGGAGATGTAGCTTCGCTTTCGAGCTCGCACGCGTCTAGAGGCGTCGCAGTGAAACGTTTCCAGCTCGGCGGACTTGATGGTGGGAGGGCGCGCACGGTGGACACTTGCTGCGCACAAGTCAGACAGCAGGAAGCGGCACGAGATCTTCTTCTGACATGATGCGACGTTTGGTGATGGATGTACAAATGGAGCTTGCTAGCAGGCAGGCGCGACAGTGACATTCGCGGCGCAGAAGCAAAGAACGCTATGCCTTTTTCAGCTTCGTTGCTGCCTTCCGTCCATCAAGTGTGAACCACTCTGGCAAGTCTAGAGCTCCAAGCACAGCTCTGGTTGGAGTGGGCGCTACGAGCAGGGCCAGCTCGAGGGTGAATTCGATCACATGAGCCAGTCCAGTGACGAGTGCGTAGAAGACCATGGGAATGACGCCCATCATCAGGTTACCACCCACGCCCCTCCGAGTGATGGTTTCTAGGATCTCTGTGCGACAAATTTGAGGTGCGGTGGAAGATTTCCAAGGACCTTCAAGGCGATAGAGCTGTGCGGCGGGGGGGAAAGGTGAGGAAGCAAAGCATGAGCCGAATGCTAGGAATGAAGAAGATGGCGCGAGACGATGCGGCGGGACTCACCGTGGGAAAAGCGGCGGCAAAGCAAAAGATGAAGAGGATCTGAAGACCGTAATCGCGGTACAGATCCCTCAAGCGCGGTTCGCAGCCCATGTCCCTCGCCAATTGGCTCACGTACGAGCTGTAGTCCACGCCGTACTTGAGCCTAGCCTCCGGTCTGGTGAGCAGGTGATAGTGAGCTTTGCTAGTGGGCGCCTCGAGCTGTCCCGAGATCACCAAGGTCCACAGTTGAGCTGCTAATTCGCTCTGAGGAGGAATAGCTCCGACACCAGGTCGGACGTAGCCTATAAAGGCGATGCTAGGATCGTCGTGCGAAAAAATGTCTCGACATGTAGCTTGAGCAGGTACCGGATAGGTCTCGTCGAAGAATGGAAAGCTCTGTTGATAGCCCGTTGCGAACATGACCAGATCAGGCTTGATTGTTCTGCTCCTCATCTTGAAATCTTCTTTGCGCTCGTTTCTTAGGAAGCGTACCCGTCCATCTTCGTCGACCGATTCGGGGAAAGGAGCCAATTCCACCCCGGGTTCATCTTTGCGCACGTGCGGAGGGTCCAGATACTTTGCAATCTTCTCCATGATCCACGGTCTATTCTTGTTGCCCTTGTTGAGGTATGGTATGGCCTTGTTGGACTTGTTCAAATGCGAATAGGCTCTGCCTAGTCTGTGAGGAGGCAATTCCCCGACCCATTGGTTGCATCCCGCCATGGTACCCGTCAAGACCCACAGCACACGCTTGATGATCATGTCCGACACGAACCAGCGCAAGTGTGAACGTGCGACCCATGGGTGAACGTGACTGGTCTCGAAGAGATTCGTGATCAAACCGTCGATCGGTGTTGGACGATCAAAGGTGACGCCAAGAAAGGTAAAGTTCTCTAGTACGGCAGGAAACTATGTGAAGAGTGTCGAGATGTATGCGGCGTCAACAAGAAGATCAGCGGACGGCACACACAGCTCTTGGGACACACTTGCATACACAAGTGCCTGCGGTCATGCTTGCCCTTTTCTGGGCACGCCTCGGAGAAAGGCGTCGCGCCACTCACGGAGAGGAAGCCTTGCCTGGTGCTCATGACGATTTCCTTTGCGCCACCCTTGACAGCAGCAAAAGCCAAGTCCATGCCGGTCTCTCCTGTCCCCAATATGAGCACAGATTTCTCTTTGAATATATGCGGTGCCTTGTAAATGCTAGAGTGCATCGCCTTGATCCTTTGCTGCGCTGGTGTGAGGGCAGCCTGACGCGCTCGATCCGCCTCGGACGTGCTTCCGCGCAATTTGCGCACCTCTTCAGCTTCAGAATCTGCTACTTGAGGAATTGGCAATCCAGGGATATCGGGAAAGGCAGGGGTGACGTGCAAGCCTGCGCATACAGCAACCTGATCAAACGTGTCCTCTTCCACCTTGCCATCCGCTCCCCTCCACCGCACCACATGTCCTACACCCGCTTGCCCCGTGGTAGAGGCTGTTCGGCGCACGCGGATCACTCGTGCACCCAATTCGAACCTTTGCGCCTTTTCCTTCAGCTTGAAATGACTCGTGTAATCTTCCAAATACTGCACGTACGCTTCCAAAGACAGATGATCCGGCGCATCCAAGGGCAGTCTGAAATCCGAAAAGGCAGTCAATTGCTTGGAAGATACCAATTGTCCATTCTGGTAGCTTCTGTACTTGAACGTTCCACCTATGCTCTCCTCTGCTTCGAATAGGCTTACACGAGGTTGGAAATGCGAGGGAACGCCAGAGAGGAGCGTCTTGAGAGTCACTAGACCGCTCGGACCTCCACCGATGATTGCAATGCGAGGTGTCAGCAAAGGCGATGAGGATGCGCCCATGTCCGACATGATGGCTGGCTGATCAGGATGCGCGGACAAGGCAACGCATGCAAAGAAGGGTTTGCGATTAGTCGAGCGTGACGGACTCGCCACTTCGGATGATAGATGCGCCGAGATGAGGTGAGGTGGTGATTGTGTGTGTGATATTTGCCGACGTGTACT